GGGCCCTGCCACGCCACCCCCCTCAACCCTGAACTTTCCCTCACACCTCCCTAGGGGGGGTGTGCCCCACGGTTTGGGGACCAACTGTGCTCTAAATGGTGCATTTTGATGGATTTCTGTTAATCTTCCATAGCATTATACTAAGTCGTTGCCATCTGTACATGAATCTGTTTAATTGTAAGCATCAATCACAATCGCAGTTTTGCTTTTGCTCTTATTACAATGGATTGTTGGCTCTGTTTGAAGCAATGCCTTGCTGTTTTTAATATTTAGTAAGAGTTGCATGTTGTGGGGTTTTTTTGTATACCTATTTGTGTGGCGCAGGGGCATAAACTACTGGAGACACAAAGAATGGGGGCACATTTAAATAAGTTTGAGAACCCACTGATCTAGACAACATCATATTAAATCTACTCCTGACAAGAAGCCCAAACATCTGACTTGTGAAAAAATTCTTCACAACGTCTACTAGCCTTCATTTCAGAATAGCAAATGATCAAGTGCTGTTGGCTAAGTATGAGTATCTCATTCGGAATTCACAGACTCACAGCAGAACAGAGCTCATTTCCAGGCTCTGATTGAAGAGGGTAAATTGGTGGCCAGAACTACACTTCTGCATCAGTGGTTGGTGCAGCAGACAGGCCATTGTGATGCATCATAAGTAAGGCTACGAGTCTGTCATGGATTCCGTGCTTTTTTTTTTTTTTATTGACCTCTGCAACTTCAGCCCTGCACAGCAGGGTGAGCCCTGGGTGGCAGGGCTTGGGCTTCTGTGAATTACTGTTTATTGACTGCGACCTGTCAATGACTTTTACTAAAAAATAATCCTGACAAAAACTTAACCTAAACCATGAGTCATGATTTAGGTTCTTAGGGGATTCTCATGGAGGTCCAAAACACGGTGAAGGACTTACCTTTTTGATAATGCCCATTTTTTTTTCAAGGAAAAAACAGATGAGTCCTTACATACTTCCTTTTGGGGCAAGAGTCCTTTAAAGTATCTCAGGCAGCCTTACAAACCTAAACTGGCATTTCAATGGTTTTATCACCAGTGGTCTTGTCTCTTACAAGGAGGACACAAAGAATAGAGGAGTCTTGTTTCCCAGCACCTCCCATGCCTACAAGCACCATCTCACTCGAATCCCCCACTGAAAAGATATTTTTGATGGGAGCTCAAGAGATGTAAACTATTTATGATACTACCACTGCCCTATCCTCACATACTTTTCAGTGGCCATTTCACACTCTGTTTCCACAACTGAACTGCCATAACAGTCAAATGGATATTCGATATCTTCCATTACAGCTATATAGAGTTTATGTCCCTACCTCCTCCAAAATCCCCATCCCTGTTCCACTTTACGGACCATTCTCATGAGGGGATTCTCGGGCAAGAAGAGTGGAATCCCTCCTCCAACAAGAAACAATAGAGCTTCAACACCAATGGACAGGTTTTTACTCTGTCATTCCTAAAAAATGGGAGGTTGGAGACCTGTCCGTAATCTCCGTTATCTCAACTGCTTTTTTCAGAAGCTGAGATTTCACATGGCCACTCTGGCATCAATAATCCCATCCCTGGAAAATGACTGTCAGAAAACAGGGCAGACACCCCAAACTGTTGATGTGTTCTATAATTAATTAATTTCACCAAGCCAATGACAAATGTGAACCTTACCATGGAGTCACAGACAGTTCTTCGAGTGCTTGCTCATGTTGAGTTCATTGTAGGTGTTGCGCGCACCCAAGTGCACAGCTGTCAAGAGACTTTTGCCTTGGCGGTACCCATAAAACCAGCTATGGTGCCCTCTGGAGTGCCGCGCCCTCTGGAGTGCCGCACTCATGGTGCAGTATATCAGGCACCACCAGCCCTGTACCCTCTCCGTTCCTTCTTACTGCCCATGGTGGTCAGTTGGAGTGCCTCTGTCCCTTGCTTCATAAGCGGTCAGCAGTTTCTCATCTAGTTTAGCCTTGTGCTTTACCTGTAAATAGTTTTAATCGTTGTTAGTAGTGAAGTACCCATTAATTGTTTAGTTAGATAGTGTCCCAGTAGGGATTTTGCCTGAGGGGCATGCCCCGGTCTTCGAGTTTCAAGCTCTGCTCATCGTATAACAGGCCTATGCCTGTTAGTGACCCACACAAGAGTTGTCTACAGTGCCTCAGGGAAACCCATATAAACGAGCGCTGTCACATCTGCCAGAACTTTGCTCCCTTTGCGTCCGTGGATGAAAAACTCCTTTGTGTACCAGACAAATTGGACTTTGTGATAAAATGATTACTTATACCAAAAATCACATCAGATCTATGTTGCTTCTAGTCCCAAGAGACCAGTCACTTACCCCAGATCAGTTGGAACGCTAGATCTTTCACCAAAGATAACGCTGGTAGCCAATTCTATAGTAAAATAACAAGGTTTATTAGCTAAGAAAAGGAAGTGAGTTATTGGGAGGTTAAAGCAGGTAAAATATGTGCACAAGGAGTCATAGTTTATAAATTTATAATCCCAAATGGTGGCAGTACGTGATAAATTGCTAGTTTCCCAAAACTCTTTTCAGGATACCCAGATTGTTTCTGAGGATCTCTGCTTTCTTCTGGTGCACTTCCCTGTAAAAGTCCAAACAGTCCAGAGATACAGGATCTTTCATTGAATCCTTACTTATCGCTTCTTTACACAGAAAACAAGCTGGTAGTGTTTACTACTCAAGTAGGCTTTTCCTTTGTGGAGAATGAGGAATCCATTTGGGGCCTTTGACCTTCAGTCATCACACACAAAGACCACTTATTTTGAAATGAGCACTTTTCATTTACATTCTTTCTCATTTGATAGGTTACTTAGTTGCAGGGATATATACAATGTAAATGTCTGCTACTACATTATAATGGGTCACAAATAAGTGAAAACAATGCAAGTAACATCCCACTTGTTTTCATTAACTTTAAACACCAAATACACTCTTATACATTTATCACTTTGATCTATACTAATATACAAGTGAATTGGCCTGAGGGCTCTGGCATGAGCTGGCATCTGGTCTGAATCTGTCATAATACCATTTGTCACACTCTACCTACATAGCCTTCAGGTGTGGCCCCAGACAATTATTCACCAACCAAACACAGTATGAATACCATGGTAACAATTCTTTCCAAATTAACATCTTCCTTGATATGGTGGAAGGTTCCTTATCACGTATGTGTGGGCATCCCCTTCCTACCATCCTTTCCAGACAAGATCATTTATAGACACTTCTCTTTGGCTGGAGAGCCCACATGGACAACCATATGGTGCAGGGCAATTAGACATCTCAAGAGACCAGGACACACATCAACCTTCTGGAATGCCAGGCAGCCTGAGAAGCTTGCAAGATTTTTCTCCAATTCCTCCAGTCCCACTATGTTCTGATGATGTCAGACAACATGGCAACTGTCTTTTACATCAACAAACGGGGGATGGGAGGGGCAAGATCAATCCCCCTGTGTGTAGAAGCAGTCACCCTGTGGTACTGGTGTATCAGGAATTGAATCACCCTGTTGGCAGCTTATCTTCCAGGAACTCAGAATGGGTTGGCGGACACCCTCAGCAGGCATTTTGCCATCAATCGTGAGTGGGAATTGCATGATTCAGCCATAAATAGCATCTTCACTCAGTAGGAGACCAGCGACTGGGATGTATTCGCCTCCCAAACAAACAAGAAATGCAACGTATACTTGGCGCTCTAGGACTATGCTCTCAGGGTGATGCTCTTTTTCTCGCCTGGTCAGTTCATCTGAGCTATGCTTTTCCTCCTTTGTTGCTCCTACCTCAGTTCTTACAGAAAATTAATCAGGACAGAGCACAAGTCATTCTCATTGCCCCCCAACTGACCCAGACAGTTTTGGTTCCCAAATCTCGGACTGTTATCTTGTTCTCCGATCACCATTTAGTCCTTTTGTGATCTCTTGGCCCAGGAGAAGGACAGGATCAAGCATCTCAACACTTATGTTTTATCGTATGGCTTGGTTTTTTGCATATTAGTGCTCTGGAGATGTATAAATGATCCTTAATAACAGTAGCAAGGACTCCACTAGAAAATGCTGTTCAGCCAAGTGGAAGCATTTTTTCCATCTGGGTACAGAAGAAACTTTTGTATCTCTTGAGTCAGCAGATATTCCCCTCATTTTGGACTATCTTCTTTCTCTCAACACAGCTGAGCTTTCCCTCAGTTCTATACAAGTCTACCTGGCAGCAATCAGTGCATGCTATCTATCCTCTGGTGGTTATTCAGTGTTCACTCTCCGATTGATTACCAAATTTTTAAAGGGCCTAATTAGAAGTTTCCCACCACTAAGGAATCCTACTCCTCGTTGAGACTAAAATCTTTGTACTTTCAGTACTCATTAAGCCTCGCTTAGAACCATTAGCTTCCGTGTCTCTCATAGCCATACGGAATGCAACTTCCATTGATATCACCTCAGCCAGAAGCATGGGTGAGCTAGGAACTCTAATGGCAAATCTGCCATACACTATATTCCATAAGGACAAAGTGTCTTTATTACTCTAAAATTCACCCCCAAAGTAGTTTTGACGTTTCACATGAAACAATCAATAGACTTACCTGTGTGTCCCCCTCTACCTGAAACAGCGTGTGTCTGGAGAGGAGACTTCATTCCCTGACTTCTACCTGTGAAGGACAAAACCAATTAGAAAATCACCTAGATTGCTTGGTTTGGTTTGGTTTGGTTTGTTTGTTTTTGTGTTTCTCGCTACAGCAGAATGAGTCCGAGGTTAAGTGGCCATGTAGGTAGTATTGGATGTGGCCCACAATGGTAAATAGGTTGAAAACCAGTGGGTTAAGTTATATCCTCTAAGTCAGGGGTCTCAAACTCCCGGCCTGCGGGCCATCTGCAGCCGGTGAGCCTCCCCAATATGGCCCGGGGGGCTCCAGCAGTTTTGGGGCCGGGTTTCTCCAGTGGCCCCACCTGCCACCCCCGGGCTCTCCCCCCTCAGGGGCCCCAGTAGCGCAGCAGAGCTGAGCAGCGGCTGCCAGCCCCTCTGGGGCTGTGCCTCCATGCACTGCCCCTGCTCTGAGTGCCCCTGTGGTCGCAGTGCCTGGGGACAGAAGCGTGCAGAGGCCCCCCCGGCCTGCCTTGGAGCTCCAGGTAAGTGCTGCACCCCCGACCCCCTCCCAGAGCCTGCACCCCCTCCCCACGTACCCCAGACCCCCTCCCCCACTCAAACTCCCTCCCAGAGCCCAACCTCTCACCCCTTCTGCACCCAAACTCCCTCCCAGAGCCTGCACCCCAATTCCCTACCCCAGACCTCTCCCACCCAAACTCCGTCCCAGAGCCTTTAGGCAGGTGGGGGGGTGAAGTTTGGGGAGGGGGGCGGTTTCTGTGTGGCATGAGTGACATTGGCCTGCTGGGAGGATTTGAGGACTGGCACTGGCTCTAAGGTAAATTGAGTTTGAGACCTCTGTTCTAAGTGGATCTTGGGCTGTATCCTGCTCTGCTACCAGCTGCTGCATCTTCCTTCTCCTCATGGGTTGAGGGCTCATTCTGCAAGAGCACAAGCAGATTCAGTGGCATCGCTTCATAAAGTACCCATTTCTTGACACTTGCAGAACAGCTACGTGGAGTTCCATACATATGTTTGCGCATCATTATGTTCGAGTGCAGAACTCCTCTACTGATTCATTCTTTGGGACAGTGGTTCTCCAAACAGCTCTGCCATTTATCTCCTCACACCCTCCTCCTACTTGAGTACTGCTTGTCAGTCACCCATAGTGGAATACACATAGGGACCAGGTCTCAAAGAAGAAACTGTTACTTATAGTAACTGGAGGTTCTGTGGTCCCTATTGGTATTCCACTACTCACCCTCCCTCCTTCCCCTCTTCTTTGGATCTCTACTGTGGAAAAGGAGTTAATGAGAGCTGGCAGTTTCTTAAACAGTATTAAAGGCACTACATCAAACTATCCCCATGCAAAAGAAAGATAGGAAGAATAGTAAGAGGCCCGAAGAGCTCTTCAAGGACCTGAAACTTAAAAATGCATCCTACAAAACTTGGAAACATGGACAAATTGCTAAGGAATACAAAATAGCACAAGTATGTAGGGACAAAATCAGAAAGTGTAAGGCACAAAATGAGTTACATCTAGCAAGGAACATAAAAGGCAATAAGAATTGGTTCTATAAATAAGTCCTGAGCAAGAGAGAGACAAAAGAGAGTGTAGGTCCTCTGCATAGTGGTCAAACAGAGCTAATAATGGACAACACCAAGAACACTGAAGTGTTTAAATGCCTATTTTGTGTCAGTCTTTTAAAGAAGTTGTGACCTGATGCTTAACACAATTAATATTAACAACAAGGGAGATGGAACACAAGCCAATACAGGGAAGGAGCAGGCTACATAATAATTATTCAAATCATCAGGGCCTGATGAAATTTACCCTAGGTTACTTAATGAACTAGTTGGAACCATTTGCAGTTTCTTCGAGAACTCATGGAGGAGAGCTGAGGTCCCAGAGGACTAGAAAAGGGCAAAGACCATATTTATCTTTTTAAAAGGGTGGAACACAGAGGGGAATTATAGACTAGTCAGTCTAATTTTGATACCTGGAAAGATACTGGAACAAATTATTAAACAATCAAATTGCAAGCATCTAGAGGATAATAGGTGATCAGAAATAGCCAACATTGATTTGTGAAGAACAAATCATGTCAAACCCAATTTCCTTATTTGACGAGGTTACTGGCCTCGTCGATAGGGGACTCAGGGTCAAGCAGTAGGTAGACTTATATTGATTTTAGTAAAGATTTTGACACAGTCCCCACATGTCATTCTCATAAACTAACTAGAGAAATGTGGTCTAGATGAAATTACTTTAAGGGAGGTGCACAACTGATTGAAAGATTGTACAAAGAGTAACTATCAATGTTTCACTGTCAAACTGGGAAGATGTATCTAGTGGAGTCCCACAGGGGTCAGTTCTGGGTCCCGTACTAGTCAATATTTTCACTGATGACTTGGATAATGGAATGGAGAGCATGCTTATAAAATTTGCAGATGACACCAAAGTGGGAGGGATTTCAAGCTCTTTGGAGGACAGGGTTAGAATTCAAAGCGACCTTGACAAATTGGAGAACTGGTGTGAAATCAACAAGATGAAATTCAATAAATACAAGTACTTCACTTAGGAAAGAAAAATCAATGTACAACTACAAAATGGGGAACAACTGGTCTGGGCAGTAGTACTGCTGAATAGGATCTGGGGAGTAATAGTTGATCACAAATTGAATGGTGATGCTTTTGTGGGGGGTGGGGCGGGGAAGCCTGTAATCACTCTGGGGTGTATTAATAGGAGTGTCATACATAAGATACGGGATGTTGTTGTTGTTCCACTCTACTCAGCATTGGTGAGGCCTCAGCTGTACAAGTTTGGTACCATGCTTTAGGAAAGATGTGGACAAATTGGGTGAGTCCAGAGGAGAGCAACATAAAATGAAAAAGAATTTAGAAAACCTGACCTATGAGAAGATTTTTAAAAGTTGGGTATGTTTAGTCTTGAGAAAAGAAGACTGAAGGGGAACATAAGACTTTAAATATGTTAAGAGCTATTACAAAGAGGAGGGTGCACAGTTGTTCTCAAGGTCCACTGAAGGTAGGACAAGTAGAGGGCTTAATCTGCAGCAAGTGAGATTTAGGTTAGATATTAAGAAATCCTTTCTAACTATAAGGATAGTTAAGTACTGGAATTGGGTTCCCAGGGAGGTTGTAGACTCCCCATCATTGGAGGTTTTTAAGAACAGGTGAGACAAACACCTGTCAGGAATGGTGCAGATGTAATTGGTCCTACCTCAGCATGGGGAATGGACTAAATGACCTCACAAGATCCCCTCCAGCCTTACATTTCTATGATTCAACATTGTTTACAGAACCTTCATTATCAAACTTCTATATGATATTTAGCTGTAAATTGACTCCCAAAGTGAGTAGTGTGAGAGAGAGAACCCAAATGCTTCGGTCTTTTATTGCCCTGATGAGCCACACATTCAAAGAAGTGAAGCAGAGCCCCATCTGCTTTCTTTATACTTTGGAAGAAGAAATTAAGTAGTAAAATCCATAGAGTTCCTGCCTCGTTTGCCAAACTTAGCTTTTCAAATCCACCTCCACTAGCTATGAATAAAGTCCACAGGATGGGGTAGCTGGGCAAAATAAAGCTTAGCAGAAGTGCTACTAGTACATCTGCATTTAAAATAGTATGAGGGTGGGAGCGGGAGAAATTTCCCACCCTTTGCTGAACAGACCGGCCTGCAAGAGAGCCCTACCTGATCTTGTACCTTCCCGCCCCCTACATCCCATTAGCTCTTGTTGGTATGTTACACATTCAGTGTTTTCATGTTTTATTAAATACTTAATATTGATGTGCCATTTTCTTTCTTTTTGTCAGTAGTTTTGTGATCTATTTTTCAGATTCATCTCCTCACACCTCATTGAACAGGAGGAGTTCGGGTCGCCAGGGTGGAGTCCATGAACTGTCAGCTTTTGAACAACTTGTTGTGGAACTGGTACGACATGACGACAGTTGGCCTTTCATGAAACTGGTTTCCAAAGTCCAGGTATGCATTTCCCTGAAAGTTCTATGGGCTGGTACAGAAGAATGGTAAGGCTATACTAGCATCACAGAATGCCTGTTCTCCTCAATCACATTGAAGCTGCTCCTGGTGCTTGGGGGTTGCTCTGGTATTACCAGATCTGGAATTTCTGTTCATGACCAACCTCTTACACAAAAACTTGAGACTTGAAACTGACAAGAGCAGGAATTATTAGGCAGCTGGAAGGAGTGATTTTAAGATTAAAGGGGTGGGGGGGGAATCTCTATCTTCATAGAGAAGTGGGTTGGCGTGGACATTATAACCATTTACACACATGAATGAAGGGTATAAACATCAAAGAGAGAGGAGTTACTTAGATCAGGAACAAGTAGGGAGGGCAATATCTTGGAGTAATGGGATTAAAATAAGAAAATCTCTGGCTGAATTTGAGAAGAGCTTCTGGATGGGGAGCTGTATTAATCGTGACCTTCAGAAGAAAGTGGTAGAAGTTCCATTGCAGATACATTCAAACTAGACTAAGCAAAGCACTAGAGAAAAAGTCCCTTCTATGATTTGAAAAAGAAAAATCCACAGCCAATTACACTTTTAATTGTCTATGTAGTGCCAGAACAGATTAATTTAATTACTTGCTGCCTGTCAGTGTGCTGACCTGTATTTACAAATCCTGGATGCACTTAATGATCACTCTTTATAAATGCCAAGGAATGGATGATTTTACCCATCTGGTCTTCTTCACTGCTAATTCCTCCTGCAAATTCCCTAGCAAGTTGCACCCCAAGATGTATGTTCAGAAGAGAGCCCATAGCCAGATATAATTTGGCTCAAAATGTATATGCATGTTTCTGAATTTTCTTATCAGACAACCAAATTTGGGATCCAAATTGTCCCATAAACAAGACACCTTTTAAAAATTTCTTCTAGTCTGATTTGGGGGATGGGTACCTTGAATTCTGTGCAAGCACACATTCCAAGGTTTGTGAGCCAAATGATCAGTGTCTGGGTTCAGTAATCCTCCTTCCCTTTGCTTTAATCATGTATGCATCTCTTATTTTAACTAACTGTGAGT